TTTGACAAACGTTGCGGTAGACCTCCCACTCTACGACAACACTTAAATTTGCAACACACGTTCAAACGTTGCCGTAGGCCTACGGCAACGTTTTTCGAACGTTGCCGTAGACTGTTTTTGTTGTAGTGAAAATGAAGTCATTTTTGTGTTTTAAATTTTGATTTTCAATTATGTATTTGTGACTTATTTGTAATTTTTTGAAAAATTTGGGACTATGATTGCAATTAGTTTTTTTTAATTATTTTATTTAAATAGAAGAGTATATTCGTCATTTCGCACATTTTTATTGAGAAAATAGACAAAAATGATCTGCAATAAAATGTGTAAATATGAATGAAAATGCTATAAAGAGAAAGATGAGACATTTTGCACAATGGACTTTAAACGTAAGGACGTTTTGTACTATTAACCCTTTTAAAAATAATAGAATAAAATAAGTCTAAAAAAAAGCACTTCTTTAAGAAATTAATAAAAGAAGTCGAAAAATGAGGAAATAACGAGCTGTCCCATGAGCTTAAACAAGCTATCCCTTGAAAAAAAGTGAGCTCAGATCAGCTCATGGCTGGTCTCAAAACGAGCCTGAGTTGCTTATAGCTAAGTAGGAACGAGTCGAGCACACGAGCCAATGAACGACTTGGCCTAAGATGAAGAAATATTTTTTGGTCAGCTAATGAATTTTTGGATGAAAATTTCCACATATCTTTATACAGCCCAGTTTTGAAAGTTTTGGAGTTATATGCCACAATTTGAAGGTTCCGATGCTATTTGCGGTATTCCGAAAAGTTTGGGCCTTCATTGCCAATTTCTCTAAAAAATTAGTAGAGGTGGAAGAAGAGAAATAGATGTTTTACAAGTACATATTACCATGCAAAAAATTTAATGACTCAAGAGGACTTGGAATTTAAAGAATAAAACACATAAGATTTATTATTAATTTTTCAGTGACAAAAACTCCATCGAAGCCCCTTTTGCACAACAACGCAGGCTCTTATACCACTATTAATACAGACCTCAAATACCAAAAACACATTCAAATGATTATATAAATAACATTGCTAATCTACACCAACATGCATTAAGATTTCTTCAGTTTTAGGCTCAGTAAATTGTACATGTCTGTGTCATCAAAGAGACACCGAACAACCCAAACCCTCACCAACCAGACGCTTATGGAGTTACTTCAATAAACTAGAAGAACCCATACCACATCAATCGTCGTACTCACACAAAGAGATCACACAGATTCTTTTCTCACTCAGAAAAACAGTTTATCTACCCAAATGTTGAAGATGACAGAAAGAGAAGACAAAAAACAGGGTTCAGATGAATATTCTAGACAACGGGTGCACACAACAGAATGACCTAACTCAATTAGGGCAGCAGGGAAGTATAACATGTATACTCAAAGCACCAACTATTGATCTGAATTGAATAAAACGGGCAACTGACACTCTCTCCATTCAAATAGCATTAAAGTTGTGCTTTGAACATTCGAGTTGTCTGGCTGAATTTTGGGCTTGGGTTGCGAGCTTTCTTAATGAGACTATTGGGCAATTGTTAAATCCGTCTCGAAAATTAGGTCATTTCATCATTGCCTAATAGTTGGATTGGACCTAGCATCACAGACCAATGTTCATATTTTTTGTGTCCTCGGCATACTAATAGTTATCGAGACATGTAAAATATCTTGTTGGCTTGTCACTAATTTTTTTACTGTGTTATTAGTTATTATTTATTAGTTTGACACTGGTTAGATTTTGATTTGATTTTAGTGGTAGAACATAAATGGAATAAAATTGTCTCAGACATGGCTTTTTTCCTGATAATGATGTACATACATCCCATTTATGCAAACTGTAAATGGAAGGGAATGGAAAGGTCCCCGTCATTCAAATCAAATCACTTCCTAAAACTGTAATAAATAATTTCCCAATTGACATATGCAAACTGTCGATGAGTTTAACAAAACCATGAATTTCTGCAAAAAAAACGCCATCCAACCCACAAATCCATCAAATTTCTGGGTTACACCCCAGATCCTTACACCTTATCATTTTTATTACCTGGTTTGCACTTAGGTTCTATCTTCCACCTCCATTTTCTGCAGCTACAACTAACCAACCCTAAAATCGTACCTCCATAAATGGCAGCCGTAATCTTTGCCCTGAAAAGTCAATTTAATCGGCATGCAGCACAAATATTACAGCTACAATGTCACAATCTAGCAGTAACTCACAGGAGGATACGAGTGGTGGTCCGCCAACCGCGGCTGCCAATTCTGGCAGCCACCCGGTTTATCGTGGGGTGAGGCGTAGAAAAAGTAGTGGAAAGTGGGTATCTGAAATCCGGGAGCCGAGGACACCTAATAGAATATGGCTTGGTTCTTATCCTACCCCAGAAATGGCTGCGGTGGCCTATGATGTGGCGGCGCTTGCTCTCAAAGGTAAAGAAGCTGAGCTTAACTTTCCAAACTCAGCTTCCTCTTTGCCTGTCCCGGCCTCCACCTCGCCGCAGGACATTGCGGCATCTGCTGCTAGTGCAGCCGCGGCAGCAGGTGCGGCGGCGGATGCTATTGGGAGTGTGGAAAATCCAGCGCTGTCACCCGAAAATTTGGAAGTAAATGAGTTCATCGACGAGGATTTGATCTTTGATATGCCTAATGTTCTTAAGAACATGGCTGAAGGAATGCTTATTAGCCCTCCGCGCCATGACCTTGCTGGTGAAGACACACCTGCTGATGAAAATATACAAGATGACAATTTGTGGAATTATCCCTAATTCATCAATCATCAGAATCTCTATCAGAAGCGCATTTTCATCAAAAGTGATTACCAACAAGAATAAACTGAAAGTGCATAAAATAGGATTTTGGAGTGTTTTGCATGCTTGTTCATTAATTTCTTGCAAAGAATTTCCTTAATGTTTGGTTTGTATTGAGAATTATNAAGTGATTACCAACAAGAATAAACAAAATGTGCATAAAATAGGATTTTGGAGTGTTTTGCATGCTTGTTCATTAATTTCTTGCAAAGAATTTCCTTAATGTTGGGCTTGTATTGAGAATTATAAACTTTATTTATATAATGTGGAGAACTATAAATTCATCAAAAGAAAATATGAACGTAAAAACAAGCAAGTTTTATAGAAGATTGTTTCATTGTGAGATTACGTCATTTTTTACCACTACTGTAGTAATTCAATATGATATTTTAAACCTTAATGACGAACTCTACGTACCCGACACTAATCAAGGCTTCACAATTTAACAATTTCTTCATGCAATGCCACAAATCTTGGTATCCTTTCATGCTCGTGGTGGATGTACTTTCTAGTGGATAAAAAAAAAAAAAAAGATATTATTGTGAGAGCATGCAAATTGAATTTGTTCTCCTCGATTGACACCACTCAACTTACTAAATATGTCAACTATATTCTTGCTATACTCTAGGCTCATGGTTTGAAGCCCACAGATTAGTTATCCAATCAACCAAATGAAAAATGGTTTTTATCTCACGATGTAATCATGGATCATGGATGAACTATTTTCGAAAAAATTTTAGTAGAGCCAACTCTCATAATGATATTGAGGTTGCAAATTACTGGCCAATTTCGTTTTGCAAATTACCTAGCGATCGAAAAAGAATTTATACAGTTGATACACAGTGCTCACTTGATTACACCAAGTTTCCATAATTCAAATTATTCCCATGATAAAAAGTTCAAATTTTGAGTGCTCAAAATTGAATTTAGGTAGAAGACCATGTTTGGAACATTAGTGGGGCAGTAGACAAGTAGCAATAATGTTGGTAAAGTCAAGATTATTGATAATTAGAGATTAAGAAACTTATCTTTTATACCTAATTATAATTCCATTGACTGCACTTATCTTTTATGTCTCTCCTGTTCATGCACCCAGATTATGACAGTGATCAGCAATAATGGTCTTTTTTAGGTGGGCCTGTCTGGAATGTGAGCCAATTTTGAAAGCCCACCCAAAATATAAATTGGACTTCCAGTTTGTAAGGCAGAAACCAACGACGGAAGCACAAATCAGAAATGAACAATACAATATTGCACAAAGCAAGAAATGGAATCTTATTGTATTTTGGGCTCAGAACAAATCATTGCACCCTTCTGTACAAAGCAATAGCCACAAACACCCAATCCCCTAATCTAAACCACACAAGGTTACTCAATGGCTCGAAGACAAACTCAGCCAAAAACGAACTGCCCCTCTCTCGCACAAACAACCACAAAGAAAACTGATCACCAAGCTTAACAAAGGA